AATGCCTTCCTTAAGAAACGATTCTTAATCCTTTGTTATTAAAAGAGATTGATAAGGAGATAGCGAACTCTATTAGAACTTTTGCCTTTTAGGCAGCCTCTTCCACTTTTGCGACTACTTATAACTAATAGTATCGCTCGATCCGGAAGTTCTAGAACAAACTTGTTACTCTAGAGAGTCTGGTTCTCCTTAACGAGGTAGCTATAAAGCAGATTTTACAAATTGTCGACAGCGAGACTAAAAAGGTAAGCTTATCTGCCGACTACACCTACCGACTATTTTCTAATAATCCTAGATCTGCGTTAGAGAAGTACGACTCCTACTGCTATACGAGATTTTTAGCCTAATCGAGCGTGTAGTCTGCTATAATATCCTTGCCTAGGATGTCGTAGCCTAAAGGGCTTATTCAAGTAGTCTTCCTAGACCCTCCTAGCTAATACTAGAAAATTATAACTACTCCGCTAATAGTTTCCTTCTATTAATAAGCTTGAAAGGGGAGAAGCACCTCGCGAAGATAGTATACAAGCTCTATAAGAGGGAGAATACTCTAAGCCGCGAACAGACTCTCTAGCCTAAGATAATAGCTACCCTTATCGAGTACAATATCAAAGAGTATAATAGGATTACTCTAGAGGCCTTTCTACTCCTACTACTACGAGAAGATAAACTATACCTAGTATCTTCGGGAATCGAGAAGGTACTTACGAAGGACTCTATATTCGCAACTTTGTTAGAGGGTTCGAGATTTCAGACTCGGAGGACTAGGAGCCTCGCCTGTTTCAAGAAGACGAAGAGGGATAGAAGAAAGGGTAGGAGGGTTAGTAGTAAGAATCAGACTATCTAATAGGTTAGCTCGCAGCCGGAAGTAGGCCTACGAATTCTATTCGCTTAACCCCTATAGGGTAGCGTACTAGGATTCTAAAATTCCTACTTTCCCTCCTTTCAATTCCTACGTTCCCTCTCCTCTATCCTCTCGTAACGGATTTAGTAATTTACGACGTCGGAGTCTAAAATACTATGTTTTCGTCTTCCTTTACTTCCTCTCTAGGAGTTAGAAGCTCCCGATTCGAATCCTCCTTATAGGTAGAAAGCTCTTCTACTACCTCTATACGATCGAGCGCTCGCTTACGCTAACGATATAGTTCTACGACGAACCTCCTACCGAGCCTAACACTAGGGGACCGCCGACGTAGAACAGAGGTTCGCAAGCGTCGTACAAGACGGCCGACTATAGTAGAAGAAGATCTAGATTCCTCTCTAGTACTCCCCGTTAAGCCGGACTATATCGGGGAGTAGGATATTAAGGCTAACTGCTGGCTATAGAGGTTTAAGTATAAGGAGAACTTTGAGAAGTAGTACGAGGTACGCTAGTAGAACTATACTAGGAAGCGGCTCAAAAAGCGGAACGGTCGTACTATATTTGATCGGTCCCTAGTTACCTAGGGGAGTAAGTCTCGGACGTCTTAGGTATAGGATTTCCTAGAGGAGGGAATGCTTTAAGAAGATACGACACCTAAAGTCGTATATAGGTACTATAACGCTGTACTAAAACATCCTATACTAAATACTAGTACAACGTCTGTCGAGAAGTATCTAGACTCCTCGAACTACTAGGAGAAACAAGATAAGCGAGGGTTTACGAAGGAGATATTTGTAACCGTAAAGTATTAACAAGTAAGTACTGACTACCGACGACTAGACCTACCGACTATACCTACCGACTATATCTACCGACTACGTCTAAGTAACTATACTAAAACTTTATCTCTAGACTATAAGCAATCCGCGATAGACGAGGGACCTAGGCTATATACCGGACGATTTCCTACGCTTATCCTTCGAGATAATTATCGATAATAGTCTGCTATTCCAGTTCTTTGAACGACCGTTAGTAAAACAGACTTATATAGCCCTACTCCCGGGATAGGTCGAGACAATTTAGTTCAAATCCGCCTCGATATACTATAGGATACTCGGTACTAAGGTTTAAGAGTCTGCTGAATCCCTTAAGACCTATTTTACTAGTAGATTCAAGATAGCTATCGCGTGTAATAGCTAGTAATCCAGAGGTATAAAAACCTTATTCCTTACTATCCGGGTCTACTAGATTAACGACTACTAGGTCTAGTACGAAGGAATGCTTAGCTTTCTATATATTACTAGCCGTTATACTAGTAATTACCTTACAGAGATACTATTCGAAATCTTATAAAAGTTCGAGATTAAGTGCCGATTAACTATAATTACGTACGATAATACCTCGAACAATAAGACCCTATACAATACGATATAAGACTACTTGCTTTACTCTTCCTACTTCCTTCTAATATTCTATAGTGTTTTAGCGATTAATACTTGTTAAGAGAGGTACGGTATAACGGCTAGGAGGCTAGTAACGAGCTTGGAGGAAGGTACGGAGAGCAGTCCCGACTCGGAGATAGGAGAGGATAAGGAGGAGGCAATCGCGGAATATAATCGAGCTAGCCGTCCCGAGCGATTTCCCTACTTTATATATACTGCCTAACTTCCCCTAAAGGCCTTTTTCGACCGCCTAGGGCTCTGTCCGACTAACGACCTTTCCGAATACTAGAATTACGAGAAAGATCGGCAGATATTATAGAGAAGGAGAAAACAGAGTAAGCAGATCAGCCGTCCTTAAGCTAATAGTATACCTTACCTCCTTCTAAAGGTAAGATCAGTCTCTGCGGCCTATCGCCTATTAACCTTCCTATCTTTAAAGTATAGTCGGCTCTCGTAGTCGGCAATTATAGTCGGCACTCGAGATTCCCTTTACTAATTTCGATCTCTAGATCCGGAAACTTTGCGTCTTTATTAACTCGAGCTCTTAAAGGTTCGAGCAGTTTATCGACCTATAGAAAGAGTAGGCCTCGTCATAGGTTGGGTTGGGTATAGGTTGGGTACAACCCAACGTTAATACCCAACCCCGCAAATAAGGTAGGTACCTAGCTTATAAGCTAGGTACAACCTAACGGAAAAAACCTAATAGGTATACCCAATAGGTATTGCGATGGGTATTACGTAAAACCTCTTCTAGATATAGAATAAACATAGTAAGCGCTTCTGGAACAGTAATAAGCCTCGTATATACCGTACTGCCTGAACTCGCTAACAATAGCTGCCGACTATGCCTGCCGACTACGAGAATTGGGAAAAAGCAAATTAATTCAGGAGTTTACAGTAAGTACTTCGACATCTCCTTCTATAGGTAATAATACCTGCCGACCATACCTGCCGACTACGAAAATTAGAAAAACCAAATCACTTCAGATCTTAGGCTTATAGTAAATGCTTCAACATCTCCTTCTCTAGCCTAGCTAGAACGCGTATCTAGTGTTTAAACCGACTTTCGGTTACTATATACTGCTGCCTTACTCTCTAGGCCTTACGTATCTCTATTCTTCGCTAGGCCGCTTGGAAAGCCGGCTCCGTCCTTATTAATAATAGGGTCCTTAAACAAGTAGCTCCAAGGATAAAGCGAGCTGAAATTTCTGTCTCCAGTCTGTCTCGTTCGGTAATAGGCTCTTCTACAAGTATACTTAGTATCTTGTCGATACTTCCCCTAGCTACGAATTCTTACGTACCCCGATTATTCGCTTGATCTATAGCTACTGTATACGCTGCCCTTGCTATATCCTCTAATTCTGTTATCTCCTCGTCAAACTCCTACTGCGACTCCTCTTCTTTATCCTCTCTCTCTATATCTGGTCGACTCTCCTAGAGAGAATTAGGACCCGTCTCCTCCAAATCTAGATGATCGAAAGGATTGTAGTCTTAGCTAAGCGAGATATCTTGATCCTAGGTACCTATATCCTCGTCGCTATACTGAAAATCTGCTTGACTAAGCGGTATACCTAGTTACCTAAAAGGAAAATCTGAATTCTCGGAAGCTA